CCCGCCGGGCTGCTCGGGGGGAGCGGGGAGCCACAGCGGCGAGGCCCGGGCCAGAGGCAGCAGGGCCCCTCCTCTCTGCCACCTGGGAAGCACTCCAAGGCATGAAACTGCCCGAGATGGGACAAGGGAGCAAAGGAGGGGAGCCTCGGGGTGCCAGGCTCTCAGCTGGGGCAGGGGAAAGTACAGGAACTGGCCTTGGTTTCTGAACGACACCCTCCAGCTTTAACTGAAGCCAGCAGTTTCGGCACATCCATTGCCTGCAATGGACACAGCACTGGAATACCCTGTTCTTAAGCACGAGGGCCAGGCAGAGGTCTCATCCTTCAAAGTGCTGGGACGAAGCAGCAGACTTCTGTCCTTCGTCCCCTCTGCCCACGAGGGACACCCTTCCCCACGGGCCACCTCTTCGCCCAGGCCTTCGGGCAGGGTTTGTGCTTGCTGCAGTCACACATCCCCGCAGAGGAATCCCAGCCTGTGAGACAACTTCCCAAAACGTCCAAGTACAAACCAGGGAGCAGTCTGTCCTCGGGGTGTCCTGCTGCCAGCATCGCTTCCACCACAGCAGCAGGCCGTTGGAAACAAAGTGACCAGCTGGGGCGAGGGGTGTGAGGAGGAAGGACAGCAAAGTCAGGCACAGAACCCCGACAGCAGAGCTGACAGCCTGCGCTCGATGCACAGCTTACCTGGGAGACAAAAAAAAACCAAAAGAAATCAATTTCTCATCTACCTGGCAATACAAAAGAGTATTGAAGCATGCTGGAGACTGGAAAGAACAAAGGCAGAACTTCAGCAAATCTAAGCAGCCCTTTGAGAGTCATTACCGGGCACTGATTTAGACTAGATAAGGACCTGGCTGCAAACACCCTGCTGGGAAGGGACAGGTTGAAGGGTTGAGTAATTGGAGACCCAACAACAAAAGCCTGGAGGCAGCAGCCCTGACAGAGGTATCAAGATGTTACAAAGAACCACCATCCACTGGGAACAATTTATTCACTTTTAGTTACTGGCGTGGCTTTTGCCAGCAGGCAAGATGGCTCAGGGTCTCCAGTGCCACTTGTCAGGGCTTACAACTGAGAGACTCAGCCCAGCCCAGCATGGTCAGTGCCAGATTCCCATTGTCTGAGCCTAAAACTCTCTCAAAAGTTAAATGCATAGTGGAATTTCATTCTTCTCACAGGAAGACTTTTGTATTTCTGTGTTTGTTGTTTTACTTTTCAGAAATAAGTGATCACATACATGAGATCCAAACCAAAATGGATACCCACTACAGCCTGCCTTCCAGTCTAAACCCACTCTCCTTCAGCCTCTTGGCAACCTCTGCCCAGCAGCCACTGCAGTTCCACGTTCCCTGGGCCATCAGAGGGATGGTTCCTGCTGGAAACCAAACCCAGGCCCCTGCTGCTGCCAAGCCACTTCCTTCAAGTTCTTTCACACATCAAAAGCTCCAACAAAGGCCTGGCAATCGCTCTGCATGGGAAGCTCTCAAAATATGACTCAGAACAAGGACCTGCACTCCTAACAGTTTTCCCACTGGGAAAGGAGGGCAGGCTATGAGGAGCTGTTACAAGGTAAGAGATCTCTGCTATGTTCCCCAAGATAGAGCCAAAGGAATAGAGGCTGCTGGGTGCTGACATTTCTGATCCATGCAGCTAAGAAAACACATACTGTACACTGGGGGAAAAAATAAAAGTCACCCAACACTCACATTTATTGATGTTTTCTATGTCCCCCTGTTCAGTGATGATGTTCAGGAGCCCCTCCATCAGCAGCAGAGCCTTGTGGTACCTCTGTGCACAGTCCTCTCTGTGGTGGAACATCTCATCCAGGGCTGCAGACTGCACCTGCAGGCAACCAGCCGGTGCCAGGAGGTTACTCCCAGCCCAGACCCAGCTTTCCCAGCATGGTCCCAGCTGTGTGAACACCTCCCTCACCCAGCCTCCAGAGGCTGCACACAGCGTCTGAGCCTCCGTGCCAACCCCCCTCCCAGGTGCTCCCTGGTTATTACCATTTGCACGGCGTAGCTGAAGATGAGCTTCTCTGCAGTGATGCTGTTGATCCGATCCATGAGTTTCTGTTTGTCCAGAAAGAACCTCTGGAGCCTCATGTTGAGGCAGTGGCAGGATGATACACTGGATTTGTAAAGCTCGTTCAGCTTCTTCACCACTGCAGAAGATGACAGAAATGCTTTAGGCACTACTTTCAGTTCTCCCTGTGCCTCCCCATCTCTACGCACAGGACCCCAAATGAGCAACTCCAAGAAATAGGGCTATGTTAAAGCCAAAAGACTGGCAGGAAAGTGCTTGTTGCACCACCAGGTTCTTTGTCCTTTCCTCTGTCACCTTCACCGGCTGCCGTAAGCACGTGGCGAAGCCTACACATGTGCCTGGTTCACCTGAGGCCAGCTCTATTTTTGTTCCCTTCAGCTGCCACAAGGCACAGAGCAGCCTGGGCCACGCCAGAAGTCTCACACACCAGCAGACGTGCCAGGTACAAAGCTTCTGCCACTTGCTGGGTGCTGACGTGCCGTGAAGAAGGACGTGACACGCTTGTGGTACCTGCTGGAGCTGGGTGTGGGTGAGCAGCACTGACTAAGCAAGGGAACCTCTCTTGGGACAGTGCTGTCCCAGAAAGAAAAGCCACCTTCCTTCCTGAACCACAGCACCCGCCGGGAGGTTATGGGACACAGAATCAGGAGTCAAATATGATTCTCAGGGATTAAATAACAATCCAAACCAGTGAGTGGCACCACGGGCTTGAGCCTGCCTGGCTGCGTGGCAGGGTCTGCACAAAGTACTGAGTACAAACTCCCACCCACATCTGGTGTGTGTTAACTGCTGCCACACATTTGGAAGTCCCCACGCTGCATGATGTGCTCCTGGGGGAGGCAAATTAATCCATAGCATGAAGCAGCCTCTCTCAGCTATGATGCAGAGGGGCAACCTCACAGGACAGCCAGGCACTGTGAGTAAATCCAGCCCTCCCAGGCAGAGGTACAAGAGCAGAGAGCCCAAGAAGACACAGCCCCATGGAAGACAGGCTGGGGTAACTCTTCACTAGAGAAAGGACTGAGGCACAAACCCACAACCCTATCAGGGTCCGACTCTCAGATCACCCTTCTGCAGAAGGAATTTGAGGGAGTGGGAACCCTGAAACTCATGGGTCACAGCAGGAGGGTGAAATGGAAAAACTCCATGAGAAAAGAGTCAAGGGAGACTACTTAAAAACAAACAAAAAAAAAACCCCACACAAACACAGCAATATCCTCAAAGTATCATTTGAGCTGTGCCCAAATTATCCAGAAAAAAGAGGACGGCTGTGGGTTAGGACCCTGCCTGGCACACACTGCCCAAGGACACTCCAGGGCAGTGTGCTGTCACGTTTCCCTGCTTTTTCCAGATACATGGGACACAAGTACCTTGGAAACCCTCTTGTCCTCACTGTGCTCTGACAAAGCTCAAGGGAGCAGCATTTTGTGGGGAGAGAAACAAGACAAGATAGCTTTGCCCAGTTCCCACACACTGAAGGATGAGTGACATTATGAATCCAGAAGTTGCAATCTGCCCTACAAAGAGATGCCTTTATTTGGGTTATGGCAACTTTCCTGTTAGCCTGACCTTGTGGAAAATGTGTAGTTAAACCTGAGGATCTTGCTCCATAGTGCTTGCTACAACATATGTGCACTCACTCTAACTTCTGTCTCCTGTTTACATCCCATCCCAAGGCAGCACAAGTACTTTCAAAGACTAAGCTCTTGGGGATGGCAGCTGGTGGCTCAAGTACTTCAAGTCCTTTAGAAAACTCTCTCAGTACTATTACAATGGTAGATTTTAAGATGATATTTTTTCTAATCACTGAATCACAGCCAGCTTCCATCACAAGCCAGCCAGTAACACTAGCAAAGAAGTGACTCTGGCATTACCAGTATTTTACTTCCTGTGTTTTTGTTTCACTTGAAAAATCATCCTGCCAAGTCACGTCTTCATCTGCCAGGCCAGCACTTCCTAGGACATGCACTGTGTAATTAAGTTGGGACTTATGTCAAGTACAAATAAGCACCTAAGATAGAGATGCACAAGGGATCAGATAAGAGACGTTCCCCTCTCACTAATCAGTGCTGAAGATTCTCACAGGGGTATGGCAGGAGCTTTGAGACAAAGTCAATGTGAAGAGAAAACACTCCCCTCAGAGTGCATTCAAAAGACCTGGCCGTGCAAGGGGACAGTAAGAAATAAGCCCCTGGGTGTACCCAGTGGGGGAGATCACACTCACTCAGCCCCCTCCATCCCCCCTGCAACACTTTTAATGCTTCCATTCTGAAGGAGCCCTTTGCACCAGGTGCCCAGCAGCTCCTTACCTTGCTTGACAGTGGAGGAGAGGCACAGCTTGCCAGCTTTGATCTGCTCTATGGCCATCTGCAGCCCCGAGGACAGCAGCTCTGCTACCTTCAGGTACAGCACCAGCTGCTCTGCGTAGCTGCAAAGAGAGCACAGGGCTGTGGGACTCCACGGACGGGCAGCACCCGCGTCCCGAGGGACCCGCGTGGAGAGGGGGTGACGGGGCAGCTGGGCAGCTCCCTGCTGGGCCCTTACCTCCACTCCCTGCTGAGGAGGCTGATCTGGTCGGCCACCACGCTCTCCTGGAGCTGGTACTCGGCTGCCCCCGAGGTGCCCATCTCGCTGGAGCTGCCCTTCAGGGCGGCGATCTCCAGCACGTAGTGCACGAAGGCCAGCGTGAAGCGCAGGCTGCGCAGGATGTCCGTGTGCTCCTGCTGTGGGAGGGAGGCCGGGGGGGGTTACGGGGGGAAAGCTGCCAGGCCACGGAGGGCTGCTCCCCTGGAGCTGTGCCAGAGACCCAGCCCAGCTTCCAGAGCTAACAGCAGGGCCCCAACACCCCCAACACGTCTGCTTTGGGCAGGGGCAGCCAAACTCAGCCTGGAGCCCACGCCGCACCAGTTCCTCCTCCATGGTAGCACCTTGGAGAAGCTGGTGAGACTTGCTCCAAAATTACAAGCCCCCTTCCCAAGGAGGGTTCCCAGCTCTGTGAGACTCCTTCAGAAGTCAGCCAGGAAGGGGGAGGGACCATCTGCAGCGTGGGCCCTGCTCTGGTCCCCACCACAGCAATGCTGAGACAAAACTGAAAGCTTATGTGGACTTCAGAGTGGCAACCTACTACACCACAGAAAACTGCAAACACAGTGTGTCCCACCCTACAGCCCAGCCCTCACTTAGCCCTTGGTCTTTGTGTCTTCTCAGTTCAGTGCAGTGAGCCCCAAGTGAGGTCCTCTGAAGGGACAGCAAGGACCACCTTTTATCTGCAACTCTGCTGCTTAGTGAGTGGCACACACTCTAAGCACTACGCTGATTTCAAAGCAATTTTTCCTCTGCTATTACAGATCAAAGGGCATTATCCCATTTCTGGGAAGCTGCATTGCTTAAGTCACTGAAAACATTTTTGGGAAGTTAGCATCTGTGGCAAAACTGAATGCTTGTGGGCCCTTGAAAATGAATGGCTGCCTGGATCAGATGCAGATCCATCATTTGTACTCTGCAGAGAAGCAGCCAACCTGCTTATTCTTCAAATATTCAGTGGCTCATTTCTCTCCAGGGGGGCTGGTAAGGATGTTTCCTACATTAATTTATCCCAAAATCCCACACTCAAGCCCTGCAAGCTTTTGTTTTTCATTGGCTCAGGCACGTGGCTGCTAAGGCAGCTCTGGCTATCTGAAATAGGAATCTCTCCTCCCACTGTCTTGCTACCTGGACAGTCCAGTAAGGTAAGGAAGTGTTATCTCCATCTTCCTCTATTTTATTTAAAAGCAGAGGAGGAACTCAGAGACTGAGTAACTGCCAAGTCATACATGAAGTTTGTGGCAGAGCAGGAAATTGTTGACATCTTGCAAGTCTCAGCCTGGTATCTCTAACCACTGCAGAGTTCTTCCTCTGCTTATACACTCAGCTTCTATTCATTATGCTGGCCTCACAAGAGTCTCCCTTTCTGCAGCTATCTCTGTATTGTGCTTTTAAAGCACTGCAAAAGAAATTAAAACCTAGCCTTCAATTTGCCTTGTCTGCATCTAAAAAAAACACTCTTACAAAAGATGGAAGAACCACCCATCTCAAGGCAACAGGTTTGCTCAAGACAAACAAAGGTGATTAAAGAGTAAGCACCTGAAAGTACCAACAGAAATCAAACAATCTGCCAGGTTTGCATTCTGGCCAACTCCACGGAGCACAAAGAGGTCTCAAAATGTGCTGTAAAGGTTCTGTGACCTGCAAATGGATTACTGTGCTCAGCAGAAATGACAACCAAACCCAAATGACTCATTACAGACACAGAAGCTGAGCTGAGTGCTATTAAGATACACCCTCAGGAGACTTCTCTTCAGACCCCTGCTCACCCTGTGGTGACAGCTGGCAGGACCCCATACTTCTGAGATCTCACACAGGTAGGATGCTCAGTCCAACTCTCTACTATTTCAATCACATCAATGCTCAAAGTCCTTGCCCTGTAGCTCTACAGGTAGTTAAGCAACCAAATGCAATTCAGTGCAAAACTGACCCAAAAATGGAGATAAATTCTGAAGTAGAAGAGCAAACCCACATCCTTAAAACAACATATGCAGATCTCTGTAGGTACCTAGGTGGTTTTAGCAACACCAGCAAAACTGAGAGACAAAGAGCCTTCCTCTGTCCCCAACAGCCCTCAGAGGCATCACAGACAGAGCTGAAACCACGACTGAACCTGCCTCCCACCTCTACTGCAAACAGGCAGCCTGACCTACACTGCAAATATAGTTCAGCTCCAGAAGCATTTGCTCTGCTCCACCTGCCTTCAGCCCCTGCAGAGAAGGGAAGCCTGGCAGCCTTTCAGCTCAACAACCTGGTTCAGCCCTTCTGGTGCAGGACATAGTGTCCCCTCGCCTCCATCAGCAGCACAAGTGCCAGGTTTATTTTCCTGCAGCTCCTTCCAGCAGAGCTGTGTCACTGCCCGACGACCACTAAGTGACTAATGCTCTCAAGGCAGCTATTGCTAAGGCTGAGCCTTTTGAGAGGGAAAAGGCCCAAAGTACCCAGGTTTTCTTCAGAAACTCTTAATATAGAATGCATCAGGTAATTGATGTTTCCAACCTGCAATTACAGCTTGGTAGCAGGCTCAAAAGTCACTGTGACCAATATGCCCTGGGCTTTCTGAGCACTGCATTGGCCTGGATCTCTTGAAACCACTTTGCCCCATCTTTGGAAGCAGCTCCCTTGGCTGCAAACGTGGAGTCACCTGACCTCTGGCTTTGCTTCACTTTTATTCCCCTGTCCTTTGCCTCTAACAGGTCCCTGGGATATACCCAGAGATATACCCACCTCCATGAGTGTCTCTTCGGGCAGCTCTGGTGCCTCAAAGGTCACAGCACCCTCCAGGTTGGCGGTGATGGGGTCAGCGAAAGCGTAGCGGAGACTCGGGGGCCCTTCCGCAGCCTCCCCACCAGCTCCCATGGCCAAGTGCCTGCCCGTGAATGAGCCTCCAGAACTGAGGGAGCTGGAAGACCCCACTGAGAAAAAAACAACAGGCAAAGGAATTAGTATCTTCAGCAATTCCTCACCCGGCAGAGGGGACGACCCTGTAGGATCCAGGATCCTGAGTCTGATAGGAGCCAGAAACAGGTATTTTGGAGGAAGATGAAAGGACTTGATGCAGAATAACCACTGCCCCAACATAAGCTCCTTAACAACTCAGGTAGACCAGCTTACAAGTTCAAGCAGCTTTAATGCACCTTCCAGAATGTCTGTCGTTTATGGAGACAATTCAGAACTCCTCTTTTTGTCCACACCCTTTCTGAATCCTGCCACAGTATCTTGGGCTGATTTTTACCACACAACTTCCCCATCCATGGACCAGCATGGTTGGAAGCCTGGTTCCTCAGCTTTTACACTACCACTGAATGGGCACCTCTGGTAAGTGAGGGTTTTATCATGGTTTGAAAACATCAGCTACTTGCATGCAGGCCAGGAGAGCTTTCCATTACATGTCCTGCACTTCAGCTTCCCCCCCTGACAAAGAGGAAGCTGGGCACAGAGTGACTTCAGCTGAGCCACGACCCTAACCTCAGGACTCAGGAGAGCCTGTAGGTATGGTGTCCACCAGACAACTCCCTCACCATCATTTTTTCCCCCTTCTTGACCCTGGATCCACTCTAAGAGCACATTACATATGAAAGATGGACACTTCAAAAAGGAGTTTCTGTCTCAGGATATTCTTAATACATTCACCACTTCCAGAGAGCTTCCTATCCCCTGACACACTGCTACAGAGGGTTAGGTTCTGTCTGATGGGGGGGATGGCAATACAAGCTACAATACTCTGCTCATTCTACCAAGGTGATACTCTCCACAGAGATCCTTTGGAGGGAGATGTTTCTCTTCCACTCACAAATTTAATTTGCTACCCTACCCTGCTTTCAAAAGGCTCAGCAATATAATAATGCACCACTGATCTGCAGAGGCACAGTCTCCTCTCCTGCCAACGTTCTCTCCCTGTTGGCAGCTACGCTTCGAAGCAGATCATCAAAGGCTGGTAGAGTATTACCAGATCTTTCAGAGAGAGGAAAGGACCAACAATAATCACAAGCTGGATACTCTGTACAGGCTGTTTGCAGAAATTGTTATGATGACTCATGAATAGGCCTTTATATCTGCCAAATGATCTTACTCATGGCTTGTCCAAGCACTTGGGGTGCAGGGTCTCAAATTGCAAAGCACCCTTTTCACCATTAACTTTGAGTATCCACTATAGCAGAAGGAGTTACTGCACAGACCTACCACACAGGGCTTGTCAAGCACTACTGCTGTGGCCGCCTTGACCTTACGCTGGGTATGTGCTGCAGGTTCACTTTCAACAGCCCTCTCTTCCAGGCATCCCATCCTAGATCCTGGCTGTCCAGCAGACCCTAAAGCATCCAAATATCAACTCACTAAAAACTGGTGCTTGGATCTGCTTCCAAATTTCTATTATCCTTGCAAAAACCACACAGAAAGTCTGAACTCTCTATCCATAACATTTCAGCAGTCAGTAGAGGCTGTAGCCAGGAGAGTAACCCTGTTGTGCTACAGACCTGTCAGACACTTTGTAAGTCTCTGCCCTACAGAGCTTACCCTCTAAACAGACAAGACAAAGGATTCTGGTCCCAACTTTCCATACAATAAGGATGTGAGTGGTTTTAGTCATGAAGGAAATGCAAGCTATACCCAGGAACTGAGCCCACGTGTCCCTCCGTCCAAGTCAAGCAGCTTACTCGCAGTTACATCCAAACCTTCCCCATGGTAATTAAGAACAACAGAGTTGACTACACTCAGAGGAGGAAGAGCCAAGACGAGAACCCAAACAAGCCAAAAATGCCAATAAAAGTGTCCAAATATTTTCTTAAGTGGAACACAGACTCCAGCTCCCAGCCACACTACCCCAAAAGGGCCAGTTACCACAGCCTCAACGGCTGGCTGACAAGGCCAGAGCACTGGCATCTTAAAAGAAGTATCTGTGAAGCAGGAGTGCATTGCCTCATTTCCTACTTCAGCAGCTCAGAGCAGAAGTAACACCACCAGTCATTTTGCACACAGAGCCATCCCAGCCCTTTCCTAACAGTACTCGTGCACTGACGTTGTTGGGCTCGGATGGGCACAGTCATCTTTTACAGCTCACCCAAAACCCACAGGGAAAACAGGCAGACCACCACAATCTTTACACCTGTGGACCTATCAGCAACAGTGGGTCTACAAACAGCTGCAGCGTTCCTCTTGAAGCAAAGGGCAGTGAAGTAAAAGAAGAGTTTGCCTGTCTCTTCCAGTGCTGAAAACCACTGCCTGGATTTGCACTGCACTTGTGCCAGTGCAAACAGCTATTGGCAATAACTGGGATTGGCAGGAGCCAGCAGGAGAACCTCAAATGCATTTAGAGGAGCTGAGCTCTACAGACTGTGCTCAGGGCAGCCCTGTGCCACCACCGGTGCTCAGCAGCAAGGAATCCAACACATCGCTCTGCCCCGAGGCATTCCCAGTGGAACAGGCAGGTAGGTATCAGCCCTTTACCTGAAAACATCCTGGTCCTCGTGGTCTGTGGGGGGGTTGTTCCACTGGGAGGGGATCCGACAGTAAAAATCACTGGGGTTGGGCTGGCAGAGCCCCCAGCCCGGGCACCAGAGTGCAGGGTCCCTCCGTAAGCACCTGAGGGAGCTGGGGAGACAGTTGAAAGGTGCAGACTGGCATTACAGGAAAGTTACTCAGAGCATGGTGTGCCTCACCCAGCGGTTTTAGGTTCCTGCAGACTCTCCTGGGAGACAGTGGTTACCAGCACAGGCCAGTGCTCCTTTGGAGGCACCCTCCGAGAACACAAGTGGGCCAGGCTGGCACAGCCTACAGGACATGAGCCTGGGCAGCTTTGCTGCAGCTGTCCTCCCCTCCTCACTACCCAACCTGCAAGCCCAGGAAGACCCACCCTTGCGGAGCCATTCATATCTGAGATGCCTGGCACAAAGTCCCCACTTCCACATTGTTATCACATTCAGAAGGGACCAAAAGAGGAAGCCCTGCCTACAGAAATCACACTGCTAGCCAGCAGTTACACAGCACGCGTAGCCCAGACCTCCGAGCACTCCACAAAAGAAAGCAAACACTCCTCACACGTCAGGCACCTCCTCTGCCAAAAGCCATGAGAAAAGCACCCTCCTGTTTGCAGGAGGCATGTAGGCAGACTGCTCTCCCCAGCCCAGGACCTCCTGCCAGAGGCACCTACCTGCGATCTCCATCGGCTTCTCGTTGTTCAGGCTGTCGTTGCTGCCAGCTTCCGAGATCTGTGCCCCAAAGGCTGCCTTCAGAAGCAGGTCAGTGAGCCTGCCTGTGCTCAGAGACCTAAAAAGGGGACACACAACACCATGCAGAAGGGCATCAGGTGCAAGGTTTCAGCTAACTTCCACTCCAGTTTGGGTCAATCCTGCTCCACAATCACTTAATACCACACAGCAAACTGTCTGCAGCTGAAATAATCACTCTTTCTTCAATGGAGCATCTGAAGATCCTCCTGCTACTTGTAGAAAACCCACAGCTACTGTGACTACCTGAAGTAATGCAGGTATTGGCTACAGCATTATCACAACACAATTTTTCTTTGATGGAAGATAAATTTATATTGGAGGCCATGGTCTGTCCCTGTGGAGGAAGACCTCAAAAATCTGCATTATAGCTGCTTGCAATCCAACCGTGCTCGCAGGTAACTACAGGATGTTTAGAGATACTACACTACAACTGCAGTGTTATCTGGGGTTTGAAATTTGCCCCATCTGTCCTGTATGAGGGAAGGAAGCACCACTGTATAAAGGTGATCAAAGCTCACCTGCCCTTGATCTCTTCCACAGGCCTCAATCCCAAGCCAGTTTGCTGGCAGTGGAAATGACCCATCTCCTTCAGATCTGGCAAGGTCCTGTTCCGTGTCGGAGTCATCATGACCCCCTGATGGGCCAAGAGGGTGAGGAGATTCTGGGAACTTGGGGTTTTGGGAAACTCAAATGGAGACACGGCCTAAGAATGGAACAAAGATGTATCTTTAAACCGAAGGAGGAAGGCTCCCCTCACCCCCTCATTTATCAAAATTAAATTGTACACTTAACAACATGCCTGAGATAAAGAGGTAGGAAGTGCCACCCCAGGCAGTTACTTGTCCCCAATCCCAGAAAGACTACAATGAAAGGACAACAAACTGTGCTGAAAATCCCCTAAATAACCCAAAAGATGGAGCCTTGAGAAACCCCAAAAGCAGCCTCCCTGAGGTACCTTTGTAGGGGAGCCCACGATAGTTGGCAACGGGCTCCTCTGCATGAACTCGGAGAGCTTTGGGGAGGACCGGAGCTGCCGGCAGTGCTGCAAGCCGTGGATCTGCAGGGGCTGGCTGCCCGGGCTGGGACCCACGTGGGCCACGAGAGGGTCAGAGTGCTGCTTGGTTATCTTCTGCCTGCAGGAGTGCAGGTCCGACAGGTTGGGAGCACTGTGGAGCCGGGAGCCCATCCCTCGAGGAGAGTGTTCGGGTGCCGAGGAACCTGGAGGGCCCAAACACAGCGACCAGACACATCACCTGCTGGTTCTAACACAAAAAGCCAGCCTGACCCCACCACCCACCCCTCAAGCATCTACACATCCAAACCTTCCGTGGATGGCTAGGGATGGCACTCTAGCAGTGCCCCAGAACTGCCACGCCTGACTGGGTTTTGGGTCTACAGGAGGAAGAGATATGAACAATGAGGAAATAAAAGTGTAGCTTCTCTTCTTCACTGCAGCCCTTACAGAGAAAGGGACCCTGACTAGAACTGCCACGCCTGACTGGGTTTTGGCTCTACAGAAGGAAGAGAGATGAACAACGGGGAAATAAAAGTGTAGCTTCTCTCCTTCACACTGCAGCCCTGACAGTCAAAGCCCAGCAGCAAGGAAATCACACATCCAGCAGGCCACTGGGCAGAGGGGGTGGTGTTGGGGGTTTCATGATGCTTTTTCACCATTCAATCCATTGACTTCAAAGTCCCAAATCTGAGTTTTTATGACCCAGGGTCTGTCAGTACTGCGAGGCATTGGCTGGTGGGATGTGAATGGATCAACCCCAGCTCCTACCAGCACACAGAAATCCTGGCTGGCCGAGCATCAAAAGAAGCTGCTGAAGGAACACACCCAACCTTGCAGGCCCTGGCACTATGGTTCTTATCCACAGGAATAGCACAGGAAGGTAAGGACCAACGCACCAGCGACAGGAATCCGGCTTCTCACTTCTGCTCCAAGAGAAGAGGGGATAACAGTCTGGCTGGGCTGCTCTGGGATTGTTCCAACTTTGAGGCAACACAATAAAAAAGTTTATTCAGTATTAAGTTTCCATGGGCAGTAACAGCACTATGCAGCACCTGCTTTACAGAAAGGTGCCAGTTATCTCTGCCACCTTCTCAGCCCCAGCTGCGTAGCGAAAAGGTCAACTCCTGTAAAAGGAGGAAAAAACCTCTCTCTTGTATTGGTTTAGCAAGTTTTAGTCTGACTTTGGAGTGATACTAATTCATAGGAATAGAACATTAATATTCTGCATTTCCCCACCAGCAGAGACTAATAAATACAGGATTTCAGACACCAGGGATACAGAACAGCTAGTTACATCTGAGTCTGTTTCTTTGTAGAAAACAGCAATCGCATCAGTTGCACACTGGGGTTTTCTTATCCCTTTCCACTTGAACTGCTTGTTAGCACCTGGATCATGCTAACAGATACTCAGATAGCTACTTTCTAGTTTGAACAGTGAAGTTCAAGCCCTTCCAAAGCTGGTCAGAATTTTGCTCTGATAACTGGCTTACATTTTTCCTATCCCAGCCTGAGCCAGTAAAAAGATACTTTGCACTTAGAGAAGCCCTGTTCAGAGAGCAGAAAAACGTTTGATGGAGACACCAAAACAAATCTCATTTCTCCTAGGGCTCTTAGGTATTTTCCTCTCCAGTTTACTGAAGCAAAAACACTTGTCAACTAATCTATTGAAAAGAGCCACGGGAGACCACAACAGTTGGAACAACAGTTGGAACTCTCAGCTAGGGCTGGCCATAACCTCCCTCTGTGCAGGAAAGAGCCACGTGGTTTTACTAGGGCAGCAATATGCCAGTTGACACCTTACCTTGTGGTGATGGCATAAACGGCTTGGCACCACCGAAGGAGAGCTTTCTAGAGCTGGGCACAGATCCATGCTCTCCAGGATAAGGAGGGGAAGCACCAGTTTTAGGAAAACCAAGAGGACTTGTACTGCTAGACCTCCGGACCGTACCAGACCTTAGGGGAAACAACAGCAGCACATGGGTTACTCCAGGTGCCAGTGAAGAAGAGGAAGAACAGTTATCACCAGACACACACATGCCCCCCACGACTTCTGCAGAAGCAGACCTTCATGGCAGTCTATTCTGAATCAAGATCTCACCACTCTAGGACTACACCAACATAGATTAAGATGCTAACCTTTGTTCTCCAGAGTTTCAAACCAAACAAAATGTTGAAAAACAAATGAAAAGAAGCAATGAGATTAGCTTAGCTGTAAGCAGGAAAACATGGCATTTTTCACAAATCACTTTCAGATGCTTTCAGGTATCTACATCAACCCTGGGAAAGGTAAGAGTTTCATATCTCGCCATGTCCGAGGTGTTAATTTTTTAGGCAGTCTTCAGAATGCCCCGAGGAGACTTCACTCAGGTGTCCCTCCTGTGCTGAGCCACTCGTTCTTTTGGCAGAGTGGCTGTTCAGGTAGAAAGCTCCATGAACACAGGCTGTACAATGTGGAGGTAAAGCTGTGCCAAAGGCACTGCTCTGCAACAGAGCTTTGACTGAAATCAGAACCTACAGAGCAAAACAGAGCAGTGTGTGGCTGTCAGACCTGAAACAGTTCACCAGTACCCAGAGGAATTTCTCTTTGGGCTGGATAGTCAGAATCATCTGGGCTTCAAATGCCTTTAACACCTTGTGAAGCCTCATGCTAGGGAGATAACATTCATTTGTACAGCCCACACATGCAGGAACCTCAAAGATTACCCAGCTGCTGCAGTGGAACATGACTAGTGAGTGCAGCTACACCATTACTCTGGAGAGAGATGGGGCTATGGCACATTCTTTAATTCCTTCTCAATATTTTCATGTTTTCACACACAACCTAAACTCGACCTACTGAAATGCCATTCTGCCTCTGCAGGCTTTCACCCAGATCCCCATTACACTCTGCTAGATGAGAAAACAGTCTTTGCATCAAATCCTTCTTTCTACTCTCAATTTGGAAACATCTTTTTCCCTTGTTAGAAAAACACTAGTCTCAGCCAGTAAGTGGTTTTCTGGACAGGAATCAATGAATATGCTGAAAAAAAAAACCCACTCTGTGCTCAAGCCACTGAAAGATGCTATCACCAGGGTGCCCTGCCTCCTCTCCCAGTGCCACTGCACTAAGCTGTCCACTCGTATCTGAACAGAAGGAACAAAGGCAGGTGGGTTTCAACACTGCAAGTTACATCACCCAGGACTGGCAAGGTCATCCTGAAGAAGTGGCAGAACATCTACTGACAACATCACTAGGTGTATGTTTTACTTTATGCCATGTTTCAGAAAATAGTAACAACAATAATAATAAAATAAAGAATGATAATGATAGTAATAATAATAATGATACTAAATGTATTTCAGTAGCTGAGATATAAGAATTTGTATCCCCCACTCCCTCACCTCCTTATTCAATGTGTTAATAGCTTTCTCAGTCAAATTAATCCATACTATATTCACATGCTTAGGAAAAAGGAAATTCTTTAAGATTTTAACCTAAAAATCACTCCTCCAGGTTCAGAGGCCTAATGCTCATCAAGTGCCTAACCCTGAAGGCAAATGAATCACAGAATCACAGAATGTTAAGAGTTGGAAGGGACCTCAAAAGACCATCTAGTCCAACCCCCAAATGGATGGATACACAACAAGGAAATGGACACCTGGCAAGGTGAAAAGGTACCTACATGTTCTGTGGCAAAAAGTACTGCCCCCTCATGTTTTTAACTCTCCTGAATGTGAGCCATCCAGAAGGCTGAAAGTTATCTATGAGGAACTGGCAGAAAAAGCCACCAGCTGGCTGCTGCTGCTGAAAGATGTGGAATGTCAAATGCCAGCCTGCGAGACACGGGCTGAGCAGGTGAGCAGATGAGCAGGACAGGCGAGGTGGCCAGAAGTACCCCCACACAACGAGCACCTCCACGTGCAGCATCTCTGCCCACAACCCAGCTGTGTCACACGGGCATGCTCCAGCCACTCAGCTGACTGTGGTCAGCTTTTCAGAACCAAGAGGGTTAAGTCAAGGTTTGGAGTCAAATGACTTGGCAAACATGACCAGGCACTTGGCTGGAACGGCCGGTCTCAAACACCTGATGGAAAAGTGGAATCACACACGAAATGCCTGGTGAAAACTTCTCCCTCCATTCCTGAAGGGTGTCTCCTGATTTGGCTGATCAGAGGAAGTGATGGCAAGAGATAAGTATGGCTTCCTGGGGCAGACAGAACCATGACGTCGGAGATGCTGAGGCGATGCTAAGGGCAGAGTGTGACTCAGCCTGACTGTGCCCGTTCCTGGAGTTCCTCTGCGGGCCGGTCCCGATCTCACCATTACACAGTGGTGACTGGTGCCAGTTTGATCCCTGACTGGGAGCTGCGGGCTGTGAGCCTGCCCTCAGCAGCCCAGCACCAGGCTCAGGGAGGTAGGCTCATCCTCTGCACCTTCTCCAGAGCCCTCCCTTCATACAGCACACGGATAACCAGGAGCCTTTTGAGTCCCAACACTAACAGGCCCCACACATTTTGCTGTAAAAAACACACAGCACGTAGGAAGCTGGCAGGAGCTTACCACAAAACCTGCCCCACGCTTGAAGAAGAGAAGATAAAATAGTATTAAAGTAATACTGGCACAAAACAATCTCTCTGCTGATCCTTGATTAATATCAACATACCACATCTCTGCTTCTCAGTCCCCTTTGAATAAGCCTTATCCAGAATTAGGCTGGCTGAAGCCCAAACTGAGGCTGACACAGGTATTACCCTACTTCTGAAATCTAAACTTAAAACTAATCCAGATACCAAAGCAACTCATCCAAAAAAAGACAGGACATCTCACAGACACTTCTGTTTAAATGCCCCTGCTGTATAAACTCTTTAAGATCTTGAGTTTCCTTCCAACCAGTCTACAACTTGGGCTGCTGCTATCAACCCAGATTTCAAACCTGTAGGAACCAGAAATCGTATGTGAGAAGAGACAGAAGGTCCAAGGTGTGAGCAGTGAACTCGGAAGGTCAGCTGAAGGCTGGCATCTGGGTCTCCCTGACAGCTTTCAGAAAACATGCTCTGCCTCACGGGCACACATTGCTCGTGACTTAATCAGTCCTGGCTGCATAAGCACATTAATGTGCAACTTGTGCAAGACACGTCATCTATGGTGTGACTAGCTACAGGAACTAATTAAGGTAACATCCAGCAGGTAAATCTTCCAGCCCCAACCATTTCAGTTGTTCATCTCAACTTTTTCCTTTTATAAAGGCACCGTGGTTCTCTGCTTGGACACCCAAACCATGGTGGCATGGGAAAAGCTATCAGACTCAAAGGGGCTCACCCTGCACTGAGATTTGCCAGGAGCTGTCTCACACCCGTGCACACAGATAAAATTTACAGTACTTGTTAGCAAATAAATCTCAACATCACTACAAAAACATCCCCAAGCTACGTTACCAGACCACACACAGCACGTCAGCTCCCTACAGCAAGGGGAGCCCATCAGCCAGGGAAGTTTCAGAGGTACAGAGAACAAACTGTGACAGAGGTTCAGAGCCCTCAAGCTGTACCCCAGGAGCCCCCACACTGCCGCTGCCCCCTCCTGCCAGCCCCAGCACTTACCGGGGAGAGGTGTACTGGTTGGGAGACTGCAGGTTCTGCTCAATCCGCCGGTAGTTATGGATTTGTGTTGGGACTGGGATGGGCACCGAGTGGCCGTACTTGCTGCCAGACAGCTGCCCCGGCCGGCTGTTGGAAGGAGACACACAAAGAAAGCCTCTGGTAAGGGGTGGGCCCGTGGCCAGGTGAGGGGAGGTGTGATCTCCACGGATCAGCCACGGGCAGGGAGCGTCCCCTCGGCGGCTCCCGGGCTGCGGGTGTGGGCTGGGAGCAGTTCAGGCTCCTATCACAGGGAAGTGGCTCCTGGAAACAGGCACCTTTCCTCCAGCAGCGTTCCCACCCACAGGCTGCAGCTACAGCAGCCACCCAAGCGCACCACTCCCTCCAGGAAAACAGGAGCCCTGCTATTTCAGGCCACAGCTGGCCTACTTTCCAGCAGCTCAGATCCCCAGCCAAGGAGCCCATCGCTGAGCAGGGGCGAAACATCCCCGGCTCACGAAGGACACCAGCAAAGCTTCTGCTGCCAAGAGCTACTTGTGATTCATGCAGAGGCACTGCTGCAGCAATGGCATCTCCACCAAAGTCTCAGCACACCACACAAATGATATGAGGTTGTGGTGTCTCTCAGACTACTTGGAGAAGGCAATTCGGGATGAGTATGAGGGACAGGAGCTGGTATCTATATACCCATCAAGGTCAGCTGGAATATCACACACAAGAAATGGGACAGGCCCATTCTGCAAGCTCCAGACTTATTTCTAGTTCCATCCAAGCAGGTTAATCAGCTCACATCTGATACCTATTCCCCCAGGTGACAGTTTCCCCTGTCACTCTTAGCCTGTACACTACACTATACACAAACCATGCTACACAAAACCCACACAAACACCATATTAACCAAAGTAGCCACCTAAAGTCTTTTCCCAAAGGCTCCAGAATTCTAGGATTAATTGCCATGGCGATGCTATTGACAGCTGCCAACACCAATTGCAGGGATGTTGCACAACTACAGAAAGATCTCATCAGTAATGAACCCTTCTGCAATCTGTCTTGCTGTCTGTTGAGGACACAACCTGGGTCTGCCTCTGAGGAGCAGGAAGCATCACTTCTTTGGGTCTAACACTCAAGAATGGAAGTGTTTGACATAGGATAAAAGGAGGGATTTAATTCAGCAAGAACATGCACGTGTGCACAAGGGAAGGGAGAAGAGTTTGTGACACTTTTGGCAGTTCAAAGCTTCCCATTACCAGAATTTCTTTTTTGGGGCAGGCCGGTAGTACTCTGTGGTTTATGGTGACAGTGATGAACAAGGCTGACCTGCAGGAATATGTCTGCAGATATTCTCACTGAGCACATGAAGATGCTCCTCCATCACAAGACAGCCAAATAACTGGAAGAGATCTTTTATCAAGGCTGAAAGATCTAAAAGGAAATGATTTCTTCGTTCCTCTCTCAACAGCTTTACTAATTTTTTAAGTTCTATATGTCCTTCCTTGTGTGCTCTTATTGCTTTCACCAAGAGAATGGACTCTTAATCTGATGTTTGTCTCTAAAAGGCAGCAGGGAAGCTCTGATTATTGATTGACATCAAATAAAACAAGGGCATTCAAGGTTTCTGACTGCAGAAGAAGAAGGTGAGGCTTTGGTGTCTCTGCCTTCCATCAGTGTAAGACATGGTGTCAAGACAGACGAAGTGAACGGAGCTTTAACCAAGAAACCTGAGGGTTCACGTCGAGCTTTGTACACATCCTGACCTTCAACACACATTTCAAATGCTGCCTTTTCCATCTGGTCAAAATGCTTTGGAAGAAAAGAAGTTCTTGGATGAAAGGATCTTCCCTCCCCCCTACTTACATCAAGTCCATATAGACAGCAGGTTTCTCCACAAGCTGCAAGTTGCAAAAGGAAGCATCCAAATGAGGTGACATATACTCAACCTGCAAACTGGCCTCAAGCCTTAAAGACTACAATTGACCATAAATTTGGAAAGACCAAGAGATAGAGCTGAGAGAGGGAGTTTAGTTACTTGGCAGTAATTAAAAGCTCTTTGAAAATGGCATTAAATCCGTTGCTGTGGGATACATCCAAGGAATTACCTTTTGTTAGACTTACCAAGCATCTACGACGAGGAGGTGTTTAAAAAAATAAAGAGGTAACTAGCAGCATATTTTAATTCTGCCTAGTCCTTGCCCTCTCAAGAACAAGGACAGCTGCTTTAGAATGTACCACAACATCCTGAGGAAAACCCACTGCTGGCCACTCTGGAACAGTCTTTGCTTTCTGTCCCAGCTGGACTGCACCCAGCATTGCTTGCTAGCCCAGAGCCACACACGAAAGGGAGAACTGCTGCTTGCAAGTGAGCAAACACAGAGAGAGAAAATCAGGAGTCCCTGGTGCCAGTGAAGCCACATGTTGAACCCTCATGACATCTACAGTGAAGGGCACTGAAACCCATGGTAATAGCAAGAGCATACGTGGGTGGCACCAGTTCAGGGTTCAGGGGACAATCAAAGATCATGCTTTACACTCTGGGTTCAGAGTGACTGCTCCATCTTTCATGACTTATGTTGTATTCCCCATCCTGGACAGGGTGGGAAGTAACTTTTCAGTGTTTCTGCAAAGCAGATAGGAAAGTGGGAAGTAGCACTAAAGGGTTTGGCACCTGCTCCACAGAAGCTTCTGGGAATGAGTAGGAAAGACAGTGAGAGCAGAAAGATCTTTAGATCATAGCCACTGGCATTGACTTGCTACCTTGTGACCCAGTAGAACACAGAGGACAGTTTGGTGGAAAACAGGCAGTGTTTGTAGTCAGCTTCCACAAATTTCAACTCACTGCTGTCCAAAACCAAGGCCAAATCCTTTAATAAAGACTGATCCCCAGAATGCACAGGAATCAGTTAAGGAATAAGCTGTTAAAAAGCTTAGCAGGTTATGGCATAAGAAGCCTCATGCAATTAAACTCCACAGTGACTGTGGTATGTGCTTGCCAATTAATCTGATCACGTCAGCAAGGCTTTGAGCTATATTCTCCTCCTGTGAATTTGTATGCTTTGAGGCTACGTTTTGTCATTTTCTGGGCTCTGTTTATGTGACAAATGTGTTCAACACATAGCCTAAGAGTACATGTTATTCCTAAGAAAGGTTTTAGGGTGATCTGTCTCCCAGTGTGAAATCTCCTCCAACTGCCCTCCCCCAGCAGATGCCATACTGACAGAGTAGAAGATGAAAGTTGTCCTGCTTCCCCAGCAGGCAAGAATGAGATGGGAATCCCTATAAGCTAAGCACATGCCCTGAAGCTTCAAGCTCCAGAGTCAATGGGATCACCCTTCACAGACCATTAACATCTTCTGAACATAAACGTGTCTGGAGGCACAGGTGGTGCTGGGCAGTTGGTGCTGTTGTGTGTGGGCAGCTGCCACCTCATGACATTTCTGAACACCAAACCTGAGTTTATAGCAACTGGTTTAGTTGGGACTAAACTTCTGCCCATGCCTGTTTGCACTTGTTACTCCTACTCCTGCATCTTGTTACCAAACAAGGCCCATGCTTTACACAGACATAGTGCAACCAACTGTTGGGAGCTTCAGGCAAACTGCAAACAACAAAGTAGGCCCAGATCTGTCCTTCAACAGCAAGGAGAGATGAGCAACACTCCTTCACATTTGCCCTCCTACCCCTTGTTGCCCAGTAATTCAAGCCCATAATAGTTTCAGCCTTGGCTCAAGTGCTGTACTGTAACTCACTGCAGGAATTTAGAAGCAGGAATCTTTAGCTGGAATGCTCAGTGCCTCTGCAGGCTGGACACAAAGGGGATGAGTAGCACATACACATCTGTGGGCCACATTTACTTTCTGCCTGAGGATAATCCTTGGTCCCCCAGGAAACAGCTAATGGCAGCTCTAGTTCATTCTCTCCAGACCCCTCTCGAGGGCCAGGAGAGGGAGAGACAGGCTCTGTAGTTGGGACTGGTCAGTGCCTGAGGCTGGGAAGTTTTCCTGTGTGTTTCTTGCTACCCTTTAAAGGAGAGATGTGGATCTTGCCCAGCACATCAGAATCTGTGAAATCCCCTCCTGGAAGCCAAGGGGTGTTCAATTAATCAATGTTTTGCAGTCGCCACTGAACAGTCTTTCTTACCTGGATGGGCTAGGAGAGCTGCTGTATGGGGGTGAAGGAGATGGTGTCCTTCCCTGGCTTTCCAAGCCTGCTGAAGTCACCAGAGAACTCCTGAAGAACGGCAGAAAGAACTCAGCTGTTAAGAACCTGGATACAAACCCTGCTCCCCCATAACATATACCATAAACTCGGGTATTCAGGTGCCACATGCTGATGATCAAACTGAAAATGTTCAGAACCAAGCAGGTGACAATTATCCCTGAAACAAGTTAACTCAGCAACATCTTCCCTCCCATCCACCAGAACCCAGAAGATCCAAATGCAAAGTATGCTCCAGTGGCTGAACAATTTCCATGGCCTTGCTGGTCTTACCCGCTGTACATCAGGCTGTCTTGGATTGGTTTCCCTCCTGCAGCCTCAGCAGTTAGATCACCTGAGGAACAAGGAAATGCAGAAACACATTAACTCAAGATAATTTTCTTTAAAATCTTTATATATTCAGAGCAGCTGAGGTTTTGGACAGAATTTCCTGCTCCTCCAAGACCTGCTGAGCTGCTTCTGCAGTCAGTGTTTTGCATAATGCATGTGGGCTGCAGCTGATGGGGATGCTGCTGAACCTCCTGAAGTTTTGGAACATTTAGGCCGAGAGGAAGTCCTTTTGGAAGGGGGTCAAAAGCTGACAGAACCATTTGGGGCAAGAGGTATAAGGGTATATGCCCACTTGGTGCAAGCAATTAGCTGCTCTGTAAAAAGACAGTGGTATATCTTGCACACAGGGCTTTGAAATATCTGTGTCCCAAGCGGTAAAAATCCAGGGCAGCCAAATGAGCTGGCAGCTAAAGACACAACATGGGGTAGTTTGTGCCTTTGCCAAGCCATCTGAGCACTGGAAGGATGACTAGCACTAAACAAGTGTGTACTAGTCCTGTTGCTGCTCCTAGGAAATCAGAACCAACGCTGAGCTCTTCCTTCTCACAAGGATTACAGAGCAGAGACCTTTCAGAGGTGCCAGTTCTACCCCTCCCAGCTCCTGTTTTAACACAAGTAGTGCAGCTGAGAGAGGAGGAATCCCAGCATCCAGCACCAGGATCCAACCCAGCAAAGCACCACACACATGCTCATGGGTGAACAATGCCCTTCTGCTGGTTAAGGACAGACTCAGGCATGGATGTACTCTGGCTGAACTGGGGCCCTGGCCTCTATGTGCACAGACATTTTCAAGCAATTCCTATCAGAAGTATAAACACGTAGAGGTGCTAAAATTAAATTCAAAATGCTTGAAGAGAAGTCTACCATCTTCTTGTTTTTCTCAGGGTTTTTTTTCAAGTGTAAAATCCAGCTTGCTAGCTGAAATCCTGGTTTGGACTGTGATGCTGAGTGAAACTGAAGACAGGATGACATGGGAAAGGCTTCTGTGAGAGAAAGACATTTCCCTCTGAGCCTGCTTGTCTTCTTCTCCAGTTGGATTTCCAAGTTCGATCTCTTATTGAGGTTCCTGAGTAATCTTTACCTTCAAAGATGGGATTTGAGAGCAATTACAAATACCCTCTGACACCAGACAGCGAGACAGATGTCTCTTCCAGCTGGAGAGGAACACCCTTCCTGTTGCTCAGACAGAACAGACAGGTTTAATCGTTCCTTCCACCTTCTAGTAACTGTCCTTAACACCCACGTCCCCCTCTGCTTACAACGTCTGCATTTCCAGAAACCACCTTACTTGAGAACTGTGCTGGGACCATAACGAAGTCATCTGTGTCACAGGAGGAATTCTTACTGCTGCTGCCAGCAGAGTCCTTAGATCCGTGCAGGAAGCCGGGCGAATCCTGGGTAGGAGATGCCAGGGCCTTCTCCTGCAGCTGCTGCTGCATCTCTCCAAGGGACTGCTAATTTGGGGCAAAAACAAACACTGGCTTCAGCACAGCTACTTCATCATTCTGCTCGAGCCTTTAAACTGAGCTCTACAAGGCTACAAACAATATTTTGCTGATAAACCAGGGCTGACAGTTTGCCAGAAGCAGCTGCTTCGTTTACTGACAAGGAACAGCCTTTCATCTGCATGTCAGAACAGCACATCTTCTGTTACACAGAACACACCACCAGCACCTCTGATGCTCCCCTGATAAGAAAAATTCACTTGAGGTATCACATCCCAATGCTAAGGCTTTCTGGATCAACCACACATTTTCTGCTAATTCCATTTAGCATGGCTGTGAAAGAAGAGCTTTCAAAGACAGTTTTGGTTGTTCTTTTGGGTTATGTGGTGGGTGTTTTTCTTAAACATTAAACATCTGGTCTCTCCTCATGCTTCTGCTGTAAGCAGCACTCGGGGACATGTACAGAAGTGTCCCTACACTTTCAAGACAACCCAGTTTTGGTGATCAGGTGTTAAAGAAAGGCCTGAAGGAGCCTAAGCATTTGATAGCTGTACACCTCACAGCCATCAGAGGCAGGACAGACCCTAAAAAGTCCCATTTTTCCAATTCCTTCAGCCAAACAATGAATAGTTCCTTGGAACCAAAACCCATCACTAATTCAGGGTACAGCACTGCTCACTTGGCTGCACGTTCTCTGTTTTGCAGGAAAGTCTCTGCAGCTTGACAACATATCCACCCTCCTCCTTTCTAAGCACCATACCCTGGGTGCCACAGAGGGACATTCAGCACAGCTGTCTGCTCAGACCAGACCTGCCACAGTCGGGTGGGTCTTGGGAGAGATGATCTGAGCAGATGAGTTTACTCTCTGGTTACCTGACATGATGAAAACTTTCCTGGAGGACAGCATATTGACTGACCAGTGAAGTGACATTCAGATGGAGGAGGCCAGATGGTTTAAGAAAGCTCTAAGACAGCTGAACTGCCCATGAAGCAGATCACAGGTTTTGTCCCAGTGCGTCTTTAGGCTGAGAAGGACACAAATCAGCTTTCACTTAAGACCTTTGCTCACCCCCCAAAGACTCTCCTCTGTACCAGTGGGGACTCTCTCTCACTGTACACACAGTACATACATAGAAACAGAAGGAATTTTCCAGCTGTCCAAGTTGTCTCTTTTCCACCCAGCCTGTGAGCTCTGCCCTGCAGCCATGTCATCTTCTACATGCTGAGCCAGCACACCTCCAATCTGCAGAGTGGGACTCGTGCAGCACACTTCTAACCTGGGACTTCCTCCCAGTCTGGCAGCAAGTCTGCACCATCCCCAAGCTTCCCAAACCAGGAAAGCTCCAGGGAGTCTGCATTTCACACCATCTACCCATCCCTGGAGTCTTATGCTCAGTGGGGCCTCAGCCTGCTCCGGGCTGCGGGGGGGAAGCAGCTCTCAGGGACCCAGTTATGTGACATTCAGGGGACAGCAGACCTCTCCTCTCTGCCAGCCCACAGCATGAGCACCTACATCAACTTCTGAAAGTACCTCTCAGCCTTTCCCACACCAGGATGAGTCACCTTGGCCTAGGAAGACTCACCAAAGCAAAAAAGCAGTAATGCCAGGGAGGAAAACCAATAAATCTTTCTCCCTCCCCTCCCCATCACACCACCAGCATTCCTGAGTTCAAAGTCAAAAAGGCAGCTTTCACCAAGAGCTTCCAAAAACAAGCTTTCAGTTCAGTGAGCTGGAGGAATGTCACTGGTCAGTTAATATGCTGCCCTCCAGGAAAGTTTTCTTCATTTCAGGTAACCAGAGAGAAAACTCAGGAACTCAGATCATCTCTCCCAAGACCACCCAACTGTGGCAGGTCTGGTCTGAGCAAACAGCTTTGCTGAATGTCCCTCTATGGCACCAAGGGTGTGATGGTAAGAAGGAGGAGGGTCATCTTACAAAGAAGGGTGGATATGTTGTCAAGCTGCAGAGACTTTCCTTCAAAATGGAGAACATGAACAGGTAAGCAGTGCTGTACCCTGAATTAGTGATGGGGTTTTGGTTCCAAAGAGCTTTCCACCTCTGCCAAGACAAGCCACTGTCATTAATACCAACTTCTTTCATAAACTGTCTTCACATAATAGGCAATGGCAAACTGAAATATTTCTTGTGGAGATGGACAGCCTCCAGGATCCACACCCTGAACACACTGGAGAAGATACTGAACCAAACTCAAGCAGAACTGAAGTGTTCAGTGACTTGCACCAGAACGCAGTAAAAGCAAAGTTCTTCTTCCAAGGAAGCAGAGAGCCCTTTAACACAAACAGTGCATCCTCTGGGCTGTACTTACAGGAGGTGATGCCAGGTGGGAAGTAGAAGAGCTGCTGGAGGAACTACCAGAGCCTGAACTGGGATAAGAAGGCATTGGCACGGAAGCAGCTAAAACCAGCAAAAGACAAAACCAAAAGAAGTTGTCAAACTAAAATCAGTCAATACCAAGAGATCTTTTTCATCTTTTCCCAGCAGGTTTATCTCATGTACCAACATGTATGCCATCTATTAGATGTGGCCAAATAAAGGAGAACAGAAGACATATTAGCATTCTGTGGAGTTGTACAATCCACGTCCAGCCACTCCTCCATGCACTCCTTCACAGTCACAGCTCCTGGGGTGGAGGGGCTCAGAACAGCTGACCAAGGCCAGGTGTCCACTCAACACCTGACCTACACAGCTAGCAAGATGGTTTCTGCTCTAAAGAGCCTCCAAATCACCTCTGCAAATGAAGGGGAAGTGGACTGAGTCACTCATGTCAGGGCAGAGGTCAGAATATAGACCCTACCCTCAGTTTCTTCTTCAGCAGACCCTGTGACTTAACACCCGTCCATGAAATGCTGGGAGGTCTGTGCTCAGTCAAACACATGCCCTCTCACACCCTATGTGCTTGCTGCCCAAACAGTCACTTGGGCATCCCAGGCCACATCTTATAAAAAAAAAAATCCCACAGAATTAATCATTCTACAAGGAGACAGTTCATTGCTTCCTATACCTCACCACACTCTCCCTCCATCACTTCTGCAAGTTAAAGAGGTTTTGCTCATTGAACCTCTTTGTACCTAGATTGTCCCAGAGCACAGGCCATTCCCACATCCCTTCCTTTCATGTTTTATGGTTCAGTCTCAGAACTGCCCATTTTATTCATTTTGTTGTTGAACTGCCTTTTGTAACCCTCACAGCAGCATAAAGCTCACACTGAAAGGACTGGTTAGCATTGACCTTCAGGCAGAAATGATGATTAAGGCATCACAGGAGAAAAGAATATTTAAGTCCAATGACTTATGCAAGGGAGGTTCAGTAAATAACCTGGAAGAGCTCAAGCTCAGCTGAAGAAGGAGACAAGTCAGAGCTAACACTTGCTCTTTAAAGGCCTTTGAAGTATTTAGTGGTTCAAATTCCCCAGTCCACCTGCAGCAGACTGAACCGTGCAGAAGCTGCAGAAGAGTCCCAGCCTCCTGCTTCAAGGCAACTTTTAGTCAGCTTTTACTCTGCAGCCCTTTGGGAATTTGAATGACTTAAGACAGAGATCAGAGGCAATGCTGAAGTGAGGAGAGGAACACTCTGCTTCTCTTCCATTCTGCTGGCAAAGCATTAGCACCTTGTATCAGATTTCTGCCTTTACAGGATATGTGCTAATCCCTCCATACTTTGTACAAGAAAGGGTAATAACATCTAGAAGAAGAATTCTTCTGCTTGAAGTAAAACTACCTCTGTCATTAATCACACTAAATACTACAAAGTACTTGCTCTATTCAACTCGTTAGAAAAAGTCTTCACAATTAACTGTTGAAACTGTTCTAGTGATAAGAGAACAGGAAAATACACCTCTTCATGAAAGCTTTAAGACTGTCTTCATCCTTGTATACTATCAAAGAAGGTTAAAGAATGACTGGACCAGTGTCTTCTAGCACAAACACAACAATCACTTAGATGCTGACTTCCTCCATCTGACAGAGATTTAACAAGATCCAACAGGAAAATGAAGCCAAAGAAGTGCAGACTTAAAATATAAGTTTTTAACGTAAGTAACCAGCCCCTGTAACAGTTTAACCAGGGTCATGGTGATCTCCTCCACCCTTTGCTAACATCAACAAAAGCCAAATGTCTCCCTGAAGAGGTTAAGTTATACGGCAGAGACAGATTGAGGTCACTCTGCCAGCATTTGGAGGGTTAGGCTGGTAATGAAATAAATCTTTCCAAAGCTTTGTGAAAGGCTTGCTTTGTAATCTCTGCATCTCCTCTGCACTTGATCTGGGGCCCTGGCTGGACCGTGCTGTTACAGCACACTGCCCTGGCTCCTGGAGGAACAGGACCCTCGTGCCCCAATGGGTGTTCTGGGAGGTCCAGCATGGGCTTGGCAGGGAGAGCTACACTGCCCACAGCCCACCCACTGGTTCCCACTCCCCACGCTCAGGGAACACCCACAGAGGTCTGAGGACTGGCCTGTAAAAGGGAGAGCTCTGTCCTGCCTCCACCACACTGCTTTTGATCCCCCTCTCTCCCCAGCCAGCCTGCAGAGCAATGCCTACCACCCCCCCTGCGTGTTGACTGGTGGAAATCTGAGGTCAAGGGGAGCTCTCCCCGTTTTTATCCTGCCAACTGTTACAGAACAGCTGACCCTTGTACACACAGACCTTCCTATTATGGAAAGGTGAAGCAAAGAAAAGGTGATTTCTGAACTGCATCCACCTGCTGCAAAACTTGCACCACCGTTCATTTTTCCTGGAATTAGGATTTTTATCAGTCATTTCAGTTCTCCCTCAGGGTCCCCTCCACTCTATTTTTGTTCTGTGTTTGTTATCGATTTAAACCTGGCTGGAATTGAGGCTTTTCTATTTTTGTCTATTTGCTTTGGACAGCATTCCATTCATCTAGGAAGCCAAACAGGCAAACTTTGCCACTATCACCTGAAACTCAAGTTAAGACTGTCTGCATGGAGCAAACCTCTAGATACAGCCTCTGTCGACCATTGCTCTTATTTAAAACCCTGTAAATTCCCAAAATTCATGCTGCAATACTGTGAGGTCCAACTCAAAGAGATCCTGACACTCAAAAGACTTTCATCCCTGTAGAACCACAAGGTTGGGCTCTGACAAACCCTCTCTAACCACCACATCCCTCTTGGTGCATTTTCCAACGCCAGCCACACAGGACAGCTTGAAAGCAAGACGCTTGCTCCCATCTCCTCCACACACCCAGGCACTCCCAGCTTAAAATTAAAAAGGGTGCAAACACTTGGCTCATCATGTTTTCAGCTCAGGTCTGAATGCAGGGAATGTTAACATGGATTGTAGGCCCCCACCCAAACGCAGAAATTGCTGGATTTTAATTGTAACCTAAGTCTGTTTTCATAATTGTCCTCTCCAACTTGTTCCAGCAACAAAACAGTCATCTTGTATGTTGCATAACAATGCCAACTGGTTTCAAAATGGGAGAGCTGGGAGCCATCAAGGCAAGCCTCTGCTTGATACTGGATCCTACACCTGCAAAACTCACTTCTGACAAATCCCCCTGCCAGGGGCTCGTTGCCCTAAAAACATTCAAGCCTCAAGATTAATATAAAAGCTTTATTTGGAATAAGAGTTTTACACACACTGGAGAGATGCATTTTTGTGATTACGTGGAACCAATTAAAACCAGTCATCAAAAAAATTATTTAACAGCAGTCTCTGACAAGGCAATAGTTGGAGTGCAAAAGCTGAAAAGAGCTGCCCCCAGAATAAGCTGCTTTTCAGAGTTTAAGATATAAAATTTTTTATATGCCATTTTTTTGTATTTTTTACCTATTTTATGTACAATAAGATTACAGAGATGATAAAAACCAAGTTAAGCCTGACAGATATTCCAGACACTGAACTCCCTGTACACTTCTGAACCATAACTGCTCACACTTCATGCTCTCAAGGCAGGGTAAAGAAGGTACCAGTTTATCATTCATTAAAGGCAGGAGCAGAAAAAAAACTTCAAAATATTCTGCACAGGTACCAATTAGAATGTGTTTACTCAGAGAAGACTTGCACAAGCAAGTAATTATGCCTCCTCATGCATGATTACTACAACACACTGCCCCACACCATATGCTGATCAGACCTGGCTACAGACAGACGACATTCTGACTAGACACAGTATTTTAAACACTTTATTAATACATTTTTTACACATCTAAAGTACATGTTTAGTCACAGGTACAAAACCCACAATGTAAAATAAAATATAAACAAACAAAAAATTAAGTACATGTTTGAGTTAAAGCCCAAAGCCCTGAACCCACTCTCCAGGGTAAAGCCCATGGCAAACAGAGCTGTGTGGTACGCCCTGGATGGCAGCAGGGCTGCGACCTGGCTTCACTAAAGGAGTGAGATGAGAGGAGGGACAGATCAACCATCCCTTGAAACCCCAGTGGAGAGGATGAGCTTGTCAGAAATGGTGTACTTAAAAGATTTTTGACAGAAATGTTGAATTTGCTGAAGTGTCTTGAAATACATGCAAATTTATTTAACAAAGGGAGACCCCCTGACTTAGCAGCTTCAAAATGATACAAAATCGTCAAGAATGATCCCCACTTTCTGGAATTCCAGAATTATGTCATGTTAAAATTGTTAGAACTCCATGAGATGGTGTGCCAACACCTCCACACACAACCACCAGCCAACAGCTCCCACTTGATTTTGAATCGCTGCCACCAGCTCTGGACCTGGCAGCCAGGGTTGGGGAGCCTGGGTGATGTGTGGCAGGTCCCATTCTGCCCTTGCCACCTGAGAGCAGAGGGCCCTGCAGGGACACAGAGGCCACCACACTCTGCTAAGGAGGTCTTTTTATGGAAAGCAAGTGTCTCAACTTTCAAACTGGTCTAGGACTGAAATGGATGCACAGTTGCCTGGGTCTGTAGTGCAGGTGTCTCTGAACTGGAAGGTCCTTTAGGCAAAGGCTGCACAGTGGGTCCCTGAGCTCAACTGAGGTCTTGGTGCATCCCTCATACAACAGACAGCACCACACAACTGCTGGTACAGATCATCCACCAAACTCTCCTAAGAGAAGCTTGCACACTCAGATGTGAATGACAGAGTCCTGCCACCACTAAAGTCAGTGGTAGCCCCGTTACCAGCTCCCCAGAAGACCACCACCACAAGGGGGACTCCCACCAGTTCTGCACTGCAGGCCTGAGGACTCTAGCTCAGTCTGAGCATGACCATAATGATTCATATGCAGCCAGATCTCTTCTTACACTCATGATGCTGAGCCACATGTTGAGATGAAGCAGCACGGGACTCATCTCAGTTGTGCATGCAAATCCAGGGGACCCAGCCCCTGAGCAATTGCAACCTTGCTAAATCATGTACTCCAGCTAAAGCTGCACAAGGTCAGCACCCTACCATGGTAAGGGCACTCCATACATCTCAGGTGAGTTGTTCCTTACTGAGATCACCATAACCCAGACCCTTGGTGAGACACTGGCTCGTCTCCCACCCATTCAGAAATCAAGAGGACCACCATTCCCATATGCAGCCTCTCTCATCCAGGCTACTCACTGCACCTCCCCATCACTGCCATCTGGCAGTAGCAGAGACCTCCACAGAAGACTACAAGAATCCTCTTCTTCACTAGGTTATTTATGTGCCCAACAACTTCAAGACCTCCAGAAATGGGGAGATATTTCTCCTCTCATCTTTTCAAAACCAGTAGTGGTCTCGCCTGCTTGGAGAGGACTCCAGGCTGTGGACATATGCCTGGAGGTGAGGACCAGCAGGGCAGCAGAGAGGTCTGGAGTTCCCACAGTCCTTAGCTGGCTGTAAATATAGTCTTTTTGTGGGCCCTTGACCCCACACCGTTAACTTCGGTGCAGCTGGGGGCAAAAGCTGAGCCACAGTGCCCTGCTTACACTGGTGCCTCTGGTTTCTCCACAGCCAACACGCAGAAGCTGGAAACTGAGGCCAAGTCAGGAGAACCCTCTCGTGTTTGCAAGGGGTTTTCTCTTCCCCATGCCAGTGAAGCAGTGGGACTGCAGGAGGTAAGAGGTGAGTTGGTGGGCACGCAAGAACGTCCCGAGGGAGTCCTCCTCTGCCCGCAGAGGGGTCAGACTTTGAAGAGCTTTTCCCACAGGGCACAGCAGGTGCTGAGAGCCGAGCTGGCTTAGGAGCAGTCCTACACAGGCAGAGTCCTTTCCAGCCTGCAGAGCTGTCCTGTTTTACAGGACCTGCCCCACATCTTGCTGGCGTGGATGGAGACAGGGGCCTGGCTGGCTTGCAAGCTCCCTTAAACCAGAAGCGTCTTTTCTTGCCCGCAGGACGGTCACCTAAGTACACAGTTAAAATCTGTATCAGGAACAACTGAGAAGTCCTGCTCCAGAACCAGGAAAGCAAGAGACTGACAGGAGTGACGTGGACATCAGACAAGGGGCATCCACCCACGACATCCATCTGAGAGGGGCTCTCTGTTCAGAAAACACTGGCCGTGCTTCCTCCAAAACTCCCTTGCATCGGGCAGCCCAAATCAGTCACTGACAAGATTTCTTGGCTCTGACATTTACTCAAGAGAATAAAGACTTAAAGGCCCAGGAGGATCCTTCCAGAAGGCAGCAAACATACACAATTCAACTAAGCCAAGTCTCTTGGCCAAGGGACTTATATCTCATGCAACTCTGAATTGTTTTCCACTGAAAAAAAGCCTCTGGATCATGGTACACGTGGTTGGAAATTTTCAAAAGTTTTGAGTCGATAGAGAAAAGAAAGAACTTTCAATGGAAACCTGTCTTTGTTTTAGCCAGTTCTCACAAAGCACCCAAATTTAACCCTTCTAAAACAACATTTATCAAGAATTTGGAGGTAAATGCTGAAACAAGATTGGGTAACCAGAGCCTGCCATTTTGCACAGCCAACCTAAGGCACCACCTGGCAAGTGGAGACAAGAGTGCCAGCCTCCACCAGTCACTATCCTGACCTGTCCTACAGATGTGGATAAGAAGCAAGATCATGCTGCACAGTCCTGTTGACCTACAAGCATGCCCACTGTCCCAACACTTCATACAAAGCAGCTGAATACATTTCAAAGCTACATTTACTTCTACTTCAGCTTTCTCAACAGTCCCTTAATGACTCCTTTGAGGATAACTCAGCAAAATTAAATACATTTTGATGCATAAATATGGACATGACAGTAGCAAACACCAAAACCCTGTCTGAATAGCTAAGAAAACATGAAGCAGTCTTTGTCTTTCCTTTTGAACTAGCAGCAAAGGAAATCATGTCATGGTTCAAAAAGAGTTGTAATCAAAAATGCACCACTTACATTTTTTCATAGAGGCACTTGCATCCAAGAACGGGTGATGGAAAAATTCATCTGAAAAAAAGAAACAAACAGAATTCAAGAACAATGACTCAGTGAAAGGAAATGTGTAAAAAGTTTACAAGGCAGTTAAAGCACAGCAAGTTACAGTATTTTACAGTGATTTTTCCATGCAATCCAGTCAACTATGGAAGTTGACCAGCTGCAGTTGCATATAGTAGTGGTCAAGAACACAGACTGAGGACTAGATGCAGGACCTACACATAAAAAAAGGATGGGAAGTTATCTGGATCCAAGGATTGCTGTGTAAATATGACAGAAAAACGTGGCTACCAGCCATCACTGCAAAATCAGCTGGGGGGAGGTGAAGGGAAATCAGCTGGGCAATTACATGAATGAAAAAAGGGAGGAAAAATCCGCCAGAAGCACGGCCAGAGGCCATGAGGGTTTGTACCCTGGGACTCACCACCAGTACTAATGGATTTTCCTTCCCCATGGGGCATTAAAGAACTCAGTGAGGTTTTGCTGCAAGCTACGACCCTGGGCTGATGGGGAGAACACAATTAATTGTTCACGTGCCTCTGTCTTCTAAGAGCTCCCCACAGGATGGGGAATCAGTTACTGAGGGCCAGAGCTGCATGGCCAGCTCTGGGCATGTGCATCTAAAGCTCCCATCAGCAAGGAGAGAGAAATCCTGAGGTGGGAAGTAGCACTAAAAGACCAAGCCCCTGGCTGATGAGGCTGGAAAGCCACCCGAGCTGCAGGAACCAGGGGAGCCCTGTTTATCACACTGCACTGCCACTCATGCCACAGAAGAGGAACGATGAACAAAAGGGCTTCCACCGAGTGATCTCCCACCACACACAGACCCAAACCCAAACCCACTGGGCACTGAGGGCAGTGATGCATCTTCTAAATGGCCACCACAGGCTGACAGCCCAGAGCTTCCTCCCTCCCACACCACACAACTGCTGCTCTCTTCACTCATTACAGGAGGATATTGTACAGATCCAAGCCAAGAACAGTTTCTGTCCTGGCTTGCTGGAGGCCCTCTACGTGTTTGCCTGTCTTCAAGTAGCCACCCCTCCTGATCTCTCTGATCATTGCAGCTCTATTCCAGAGTCCTCTCCTATCACAAGCAGCAACTCAGCCTTTGAGGAGCATTCCTCATGGATCAACACTGATTACTTGGCTAACTGCAGGCAGCTCAACTTGTTTTCCCAGCATGGATTTCCTGTTGCAACACCCAAGGTTTACAAACTTCTTTCTGTAAACAGCTCCTCTTTGGCCAGTGAGCTTTCCAGAAAGTAACAACTGGTTTTTTGTTTTGTTTTTGGTTTTTTTTCTTTGTCTGCTTTTTAAAGTTAACCAATGCCTCTCCCTTGCTCCTCCTTGTCACTGCCACGCCAGGGTCCTGAAGCCAGAGTGCATCGGCCTGGAACTCAGCACAACAGACGTGATGGAAGTCCCTGGCACAGAAAGCTGGAATCTCACAGACTAGATCTGCTGTGGATAGGGAATACCCCTATCCTGCTAGGAGCTGCTCAGCTGCTGGGGTTTCCTGCTTTTTTTCCCTTTTTCCCCTCCCCCCCTCTTTTTTTCTTTTGCAGAGGGTACCATCCCTCAGCTGAGCTGTTTCATCTGAAGGGGTGGAAATGATGATTTCTTTCCCTTTTCCCCCTCCAAACTGCTTATTAGTTGTGCTTGCAAAACAAAATTAAAACAACCATGCTTGTAATCATAAGCAGGAAACTTGCAACTTGAAACCCTCCTAGCTTTCCTCTAGATATTGCTGAGATTGCAAAAAACATCAGTTTCTAGTAGAAGAGCAGCTGAGACATACAACAAGTAAATAAAGTTTCAAGCTTGTGTTGCTGTTGTGTGAATTCACTAGACTCTGGGGGAACTCTGTGGAGAGCCCTGTGCACATCTCCAGGCAGACTACAGCAGCTCTCAGGAAACAAGGAGCAGCAGGACACCCCACTGCTCTGGGGATGGTGGCTCAGGAATCATCCCTGACCCAACAGCACACACCAGTCTTCACTTCAGAGGGCGCAGGAGGGTAAAGGAACAGTGAGCAAAGGTAGTGAGCATCAGCCAAAGTAGACCTTTTATAAATGGTGCAGGTGAAGAGAGCAGCCTACAGTTAGTTTGCCAGTAAGAGGACAAAGCTCCTGTCTACTGGGAGCCATCTAAGGGAAGTGGGAGATCTGCTTCAGACAGGATCCAGGACTGTGGCTATTAAGAGTTTCTGCACAGCTGGCCAGGGAGGAGCTGAAAACATGACTAGCTGGGCACAGGGAAGTGCTCTCATTTAAGTATTGCTGCTCTGGTGGCAAGGGGCATCATCTGGAGGTCTGAGCTCACAAGCAAGGAGGAACTGAGAAACAGTTACACACTACAAGGGCATGCCAATTTAGAGAGAAAAGGATTCCACATGTGATTAAGGCAACAGTCTCAGCACAGCAAGATGTGCTGTATCTGTTCTCCTGAGTGAAATCAGAGTCTATTATCTCAAATTTCCAAGTGTTAGATACCGACTCATGCAGTCTACTCCCAAGAGGTACAAAACCAGCTTATGGGGGGCTCAAAAGCTTTACCAGACTCCATTTCTGACAGCAAGTTAACAGGAGCCTCAAAGATATTTTCTTCTGAAGTGCACAGCATCATGATAGAACAGGTAGAGATCCACAGCCCAGACAGAAGATCTGCAGGGAATAACACTGAGAGATGCTTATATCCAAGTCAGTCTGTCAGCAGCTCCAACAGCTCCCTTTTCAGGAGGCTTGTTTACTCACTCTGCATCCTAGTAACCAGTTCTTTACATGCAGCACAGCACGGTTATGACCAGACTTGGTTAATCCACACCCCTGCCTCACCCAGGTCCTACTGTCCCCAGAAAGGCTTTCTCGGCATCAGGAATTCAAAACAACAACAGAGGCTGCAGAACAATTTCTCTTCCTCAGCCAGCATATGCTGCCCAGGAGGAAATGACCCACCTGAGCAAATAAGCAATGAAAAACCAACACAAAACCAACCCCCAAGAGACAGAAATATCAAACCCTTTTCTCCCAAATCTGACCAAAAGCCAATATCCTGAGAACACCCAGCAGCACACTTGATTTTCCATTAAGAAAGGTAGTGTCTGTGCAAAAAGCTCTATGCTTGCTCTGATACTGTCCACCTGATAGTGAACAAACTTGTGAATTTTGGCCCCAGAGCCTTGTTTCAGGAAACCCACCTAAACAGGCTTGCCCAGTTCAAACCTTATTGAAAAGAAACCTTACTGAAAAACAAACTGAGGGGCAAACAGACCCCCTCCCACCAGCAGTAGTGGCCACAGAACCAAAGCTGCTCCCTGCTGTTCTCTGCACTCAGAGGAGACATCACCAGGACCAACACCTTGGTAAGACATCCCAATTTCTGCTTGTGACAGGTCTAGACTACCTTTGCCCAAGGGGAAGGGAGAGGTGGGGGAAAGAATAGAAGACCACAGAGGTGCCTTCAGATGATAGGGTCCTTTCAGGGGCTCTAGGAAAAGTTCCATTCTCTGCCTGCTTTCCTCTAGGGCAGGGATTCACTAGAGGTCCTTCAGACCTTCTGGCTCAGCTAGACACAGCTGGAAGAGGCTGCCAAAGCCAGAACTGCTCGGCACAGTGATTATCCTCAGTTTAGAAGGAATTAAGACACCAAAAAAAAAAAAAAAGGAACAAGACATCTTTGTGCCAGGCAAGTCAGGAGACTAGGACACAGGTCTACAGGCAAAGCCAAGAGACTGACAAGCCTGAGCACTGATGAGAACCTGGAGGAGGGAAGGGTCTGCAAGCAGCTACAGTCTCCTGGCTCAAAACATTACTGCAGACCCTGAGAAACAGAGGATATTGAGCAAATTGTTCATTAAATGGGTGCACCTTGCAGCTTCAGGAAGAAACTATGAGAGAGAAAGAACAGAGGCACAAGATACACGTTTCACCTGGTAGCACACTGAACACAACAGAAGTTCAGAGAGATTATAAAAGCAGAAGCCAGGGCAGGGAATGCAAGTAAGGGGCCTTGGCTGAAGGTGTGCCATGGCTCTGTGTTTACAAACCCATACCAGAATCAGCACTGACTTCTCCTGCACATACACTGAGACCCCCAAGACTATGCCACCCTGCAGCCACTGGTGGAATCCCGGGTGTCTGGGTGCTCGTCCTGGCACCAGTGAGAAGCACAGAGGTTTGTGCAGTGCCATGGCACAAACCATGACACATGCAGCAGAACCACTGGAAGGAGGTCTTACCAAAGTCCATGCGGTCCTTGTGATTTCGCTGCAGAAGGCCCAGCAGCAGCTGCCTCAGGTGGCTCGAGGTCTCCCTGGGGATGCTAGGATTGAAAACAAAAGCAAAATAAGAGACTTGCAGTCTACTTAAACTGTTTTTACATATTCAGGAAGGCAAACTGCAAATGCAAACTCACTTTGTGCCTGCTGGGCTAGGAACACGAGAGCTCACTGGAGAGAGGCAGAACAGAAATGTCTTTATTTGCATCTCTGTTTGGCTTTTACTCCCTGTTGTCACTGTTAAGGCTACAGCTAATCTATCTTTGGTGGCATTCCCCAGGAGCACCTGTAGATCCTCCCCTTCCAGAGTGGGGCCAACGTCATCCCTCTGGTTCTCAGCTAAGTCCATCCAACATGCAATATTTTGCACAAGATAAATAAAATCTCTTCTACTTCCTCTAATGGGAATAAGAGGGTCATTAAAATGAAGGAGTTACCAAGGGAAAGCTTCCAATTAAGACATTGTTGGTGGAGTGTATCACCAATTACTACCATTTTATTAAGGCATTTCTTTTTCAGTGCAGCTTATGTAAAACTAGCAAGTAACCTCTATTTGCTTCCTTGATATACAGCATTTATTAATCAAAGGCCACTAAGATGTGAGCAACTGTCCCCTGAGCAAGCTAAAATCATTGCAGCTATTACCCCACTTCCCAGCAGGGCTGGGGAAGAAACTCCTCTTTTCAATGGCCACTGCAGCACAAAGGAGGCAGTAAATCACTGCACCCTCCCTCACCCCACAAGCACATGGGGGAGAGGTCAGGGCAGCTCTTCACCAGCCCAGCAGACTGCAAGAAGCAAGGAATAAGTGAATGGATTAAGGCAGGGAAAGCAGAGTTCAGCTCTCACATAAGTGGATTCAGCTCTGCTGACTTTCCTCCACAGCCAGAAGCACCGTGAGGGGCTGGAGCAGTCAGACCCTGCCTGCAGCCAGAGCACAGCTCTCCAACTTATGCATAGGTAGCTCCAGTTCCTTCCAGCATTGACTGTTTACCATGGCTGTGCCCAGCACGGCCCCCACGCTCTGCCAGGCTTTCCTTCTCCCCACACACGGGTCAGCTGAGGTGACAATGTGTGCTCAGCACAGGGACTTAACTGCAGAGCCCCATCCTGCTCAGCAGCACAGCATGGGGCTCCACTTTGCTGCCCTGGCAGCCTCACTGATGCTTTGGAGTAGCAACCCTTCCTACACCACTTACACCACACCTCCAGCCCTGCCACAGACAGTAAAAAAAACCCCAAACAGTTAAGACAAATAGAGTAGGGAGATAAAAAAACAAGAGGTGCTAGCTAGCACTAACAGCCTCCTGGTCAGTGAAACCAGAGACATGAGGCAAGGCATGTATTTATAGGTTTCAACACTATCCAGTTATTTTTCTGTGAAGTCTTAGGCCTCCCTGGTGCAGGAATTTGAGCCCAGTACTTCCTAGAAGAGAGAATGATGGCAAACATCCCTCATCCTTGTTTGTACTGGAGGAGCTGCTTTCCCATCCCTGATACCAGAATGGTTTCATGCACCTTCCCAAGTTGACAAAGGAGGAGGCCACCAGGGTGCTGGAAGGGATGCAAGTGAACTGAGACTCAGTTTGAGCCAAAAAAAAAACAAACATTCTCATCAAAAAAGGTGGGCCTAAGAAGCACACTGCTACTGGAATGACTCAAGACACGTAGCTAGCAGTCTCCTGAAAAATACATCACTGCTGGAGACCTGCAGTGCTCCAGTGTTATCCTCATTACTTATTTATCTGTGACATGTAGAGCTCTCGTCCAAAATGAGTCCATTTCCCAGCACTGACTTGAGCTTTTGTACAGTTTAAAGCCAAGAAACAGGCAGGTCAAGTAGTAGACCTCAGATGCCACAAGAGAGACTGAAGACAGTGCAGATTAACAGCCTGTTTCCCTCCTTTTCTCTCTCACATCTAAAAAGTCAAGCTTTGCTATGCTACAGTACTACTTTTCAAGGCCATCCTTTTAAACATAAGCAACAAAACTGCCTCCTTCCCACCCACGATCTAGAATGTGCCTGGCCACATAAATCAGCACAATGAATATTAGATACTTAGATCAGCACGATCAAAACTGTGGGGCCCTTGGGCTTATTCCTACCAGCGTGGGCTCCCCACCTCAGAATGGCATTTCACCTGTCAGCAGCAGCACCAGCCCAGCAGGCAGGGACCACTGGTGAGCATAAAAGGAGGTTCTCTCCCCACCCTGTTCCCAAGCCAAAACACAGCCCTCTCCATGGCAAGGCTGGGGAGGTGGGTGCCAGCCTGCTGAGCCCCAGGGAGACTGAAACCAAACCCTGGCACTGCTGCAGGAGGTCTCTGGAGTGGTTTGTGTTTCATCTTGTGTTGGCAGGGCTGGCAGAGGCACTTTATTCATGTTTACTCAGGAAACAGCACTGATTGCAGCTCCCAAAGAAACAAACTGCCTTTGGGAAGCAGGGAATCAGCATTTACACAAAAGTCACTTTGGATCCGACTTCTGTGGTGAAGAAACAATGGGCTTGGATGTGAGTTTTGGAGGAATTTAGTAGTTAAAAAGTGGTGATAAGTGAAAATGGTAAATGCAGACGGTGTAAAGGACTCACAAGAAAGGAGGAGGATTAATCCCTGAGAACAGACATGCTCTCCTCCTATAGCTCAGCTTCAGGTCTCCCCTGCCTGCCTCCCACTGCACACACCATAAGGCAAAGCAGCAGCAGGGCAGCAAGATTAACACAGGGCAACTTAATTGCAGGCATTAATCCCTCTCTTAGCAAGAGGGACTACAAGGTGAGCAGCTACATTTTAGGCTGTGTAGAGGAAACAGCAGCTCTTTCTCCTTAAATATGTGGTGATGGTTTTCCTTTGAGTTGTTCTGTTTGGGTGTTTGACTCCATCACACCCTCTGGTTCAATCCAGAGAGTACAAAGATACCCCAAATATAATGCTGGGAGAAATTTGTTCCTTCTCCCTAAATCAAAAAAGGAAGTACTTAGAGGGAAATCAAATGCACAGTGCAAGTCATCAATAAGAGCTCCAGCTTCTTGACAGTTCCCTCTTTTATCTCTTGGAGATAAAATCCATAGACAGCAACTCAATGAACTTCCTGCTTATGTGGCTGCACTGGCAGCTCTGCCAAATGGAAGCCAACTTCCCAGTTAAAAAATGCCTTCCAATTTTTGGATGTATCACCTGGACTCCAGTCCTGTCACTACACCAGGCTGAGGTTTTCAGAGCAGGCACAAGGTTCTGCTTTAAGACTTCAGACATCAAGAAAAAAAAGGAAAGACCACAGCAACAACACTAAAATACACTGACAAATCACAGCACTGAGCAGCTAGGTAACATACACCCGAGTGGGACCAAAGCAGTTCTCTTCCCCTTGGAAACTGCAGCAGTGTCCATTTCCAGCAAGGTTATAATATTTCCTCCTATTAGCAGGATGGACACAAGCAGTTGCTGCCCTGCCACGTGAGAAATGGGAATGTGATCTGCAGTCAGGTATGGCAGGTTACAGGAGAGACTGCAGGCTGGCTGCAAGCATGATTCAAGAGTTACCACAACTCCCTCCCAGGCTCCCAGCCTCAGGGAAGCCACACATGGGACAGGACCACTAGCTGGCTCTTGAAATCCCTAAGGAATCCTGAATTTCTGTAACGCAGGAGAGAAGTATCTGCAGAAAGAGACAACACCAACTCTGGTAGTCTGCTGCTGTCTGACTCTCTGGGCCATATCACTGCTGGTCTAAGGAATGGGACAAGGCAGGTGGCCAAATATTTCAGTCACCTCCCTAAGTGACAAGCCAGGAGTATGTGAGGACAGGTGTAAATACAGAGTAAACAAGTGCATACAAACGGCCACACTGGAAAAATGCTTACTTTGGCATCAGCATCTTGTTTTTCTCATAGAAGAGGCGAAGATCCTGGGGGCTGCTGGCCTGTAGAAGAGAAAGAAAACCAAAGTGTGAAGCAGCTGACAATGAAGGGAAGGGATTAGCACTTCTGTTTCACAGTCACTCTGAACTGCAGTGGCACTTTGCAACTGCAGAACCAGCACAGACAATAGGAACCTGAGAGACTGAAAAGCCAGCACTGTGCCCGAGTGAAAATACAGCATTTCAGGCTATTGTCTCTTTGTTCCTGACCTGGTTCTGTCCTACTCTCCCCTTCCAAAGGCTGAGCTTTGCTGCAGTGGGCTCTGAGCTGGCCTAACAGCCTCACCCAGGACACTAAATAAGTGCAGACGTGAGGAGTCCCAAACGATGAATGGCAGACCCTGCTGAGAACATGGATTAGTGCTGCAGGGCACTTAAAAAAGGGACAGGGAGCCTGTTGATGGGCAAGGGATCTGTGGAGAGCCCAGGAACGTGCAGAAAGAGCAACCAAATCAGGATTTTCTACTTTAATTCCAGGAAGCCGGAAGGTCTCAAGCAACAGCTCCTTTTTGGGCAGTAATACACACAACTGCTGGGGAGGTTGACGACAAGATCCCAAATTCTGAAAGATGGGATTAGAAAAAAAAAAACCAAACACACAGCGAGGCACAACAAGAGGTTTATGGCTGAGGTTAAAAATAAAATCGCCGACGCATAAAAATCTCCCAACGTCATTTCTCCAGTTGTTTTTATGCCATGAATAATACAGGCCAGTAAATTAACCCTAGTGTCTCAAGCTTTTCTGCTTAGGCAAAGTCTCTTTACTAAAGGCAGAGCAGGCTGGCTGGCATGCCACAGACATGAAGGCACATATAAACAGGGCAGGAAGATCAGAGAGACTCATCTCTAATCAATTATTGGTGCAGCAGAGCGTGTAGGAAAGCACGAACAGAGGAGCCAACAAGCAGCTTCTCCTGATGTTCAGGTCAGGCTCAAAACCCCTTGAGCCTTCCACCTACTTCCATTTCTAAATTAGAAGCATTTAAAGTCAATTAAGATGCTTAAAATGGTAAATCAAACAAGCCAATCTACAGATGGCCATCAAAATACCACTAACACAGCACGGGTGGAGAAGCAGCCACATAAGATGCTGTTTCAACATCACCTACTCCCTCCGGCTGAAGATGAAAATTAAGGATAATTGAGAGCTCAGTACAAAACCTCAGGAGAAACCAAAGGGAGAGTCTCAAAAGCTGCTAAAATCAACAGACTTGTGTAGTACTGATCAGGACAGTATTTGCAGTCTTTGCAACCCAAGCGTCACGGCTCTCCTATCAACTTGTACCAATAAGAGCTACTGGATTCCTAAAAGAAGGAAATAAAGATTCCCTGGGTCTCCTTCTGCAATAAGATCTCCTTTGCTGTTCACAGGCAGCAGGGACCCTAATGAGAGGTTCACCAATACCTTCGTCACAAACCACTAAGATGAATGTTGCTACAGGAGATGCCAAACTGCATCGAAGTTTCAGGGAAGTGAAGCACTTGCTCAGGGCAGAGAGATACCAGCCTTGGCTGCTTGCTCCCTTCATTTCCTGTCACAACTACCCAATTGTTTCACAAATACAATGAAGCTCTGATCTATTTCAAACACCGTTTTGTCAGAAATTTTCCTGGCAATAAACACAGACTATATTTAAAGCAGCGCACATGCAAAGCCCACTTCATTAAAGAGGGTTTCTAAGCACCAGATTGGATAGAAAAATCCTCACTGAAGTTGCCCTCCTCTTTGTACATCATCCTCCAAGATGTTTCTCCACATTGTTGTCTCAGTACAATTCCCACTTGTTCTGCAAGGACCACCTCCAGGGTGTTGGGCTCCTCACTAGGGCTGTCTCCAGGAGCCCACAGTTCCAGGCTGGTCTCTGCTATAGGCAGCTGCCTGCTGGGGAACCGACTCATTTTGGTGAGTGCACAGCACAGACAAGTGTTGATCACCATTAATTTGGTAAAGTAAGCTGCATCTTCACATAACTCCATTATTCATCAACTGAGTCACACAGTTCTGCTCCTAGCAGCAGGCTCCCAGGAACATGCCCACTACTCTCCTGCCATCAGCATCCATTTCATAGAGCACTGGGATCTTCAGACACTTTGGTCACCTCTTTCCATCAACAGAGCTACTCGGAATTGTGGAAGAAAGATGCAGAAGTATTTGCAAGACACTAAAAATACCATTTGAATTCCTCCTTCTAAGAAGCTAAGGACTTCATTTGAAATCTACCTTCCAGGCAGATACACCCCACCCCAGAAAAACACCAGAAGAAGCACATTGTACACACCTAACAACTAGACCATTCAAGGCAGAGAGCCAGCTGCTACCTGCAGTACAGCCTCCATCTGTCAAGCAGGGCTGCAGAACGGACAGCTCAGTTTTCCCAAGAACAGAAAAGCCCCCAGCAGGCCAATTCATGTTCCCCCCTCTCATCTTACTATGGAGCAGCTGCAGTGGTGGAACCGGCTCTGGTTTTGTCTGTCCTATCTATAAATAAAGACAATCCAACAAATTGAATCCTGCCACTCTGTCACTTTGTCCTGAGCAGCAGTGGAAATATGTTGAGGCCCCAAAGGCATCCAGCATCCCCCTGCCAAACCCCACTCGGTGCTGGCTGCCCGCACGCGAACAGCACGCAGGGTGCCTGGTGCTTCCAAAAGCACTCAGCACTGGCCCCCTGGTGCCTGGGCAAAGGCTGGATGCCAAAGCCCAGTGCCCAGTCAGAAGGTGGCCAGAGCCATTCCCACCCCCAGAGAACAGCACGGTCCAGTCAACGCTTCATGGCAAATGTGTCTGCTCATGTTTTTTGAATCCTCTCCTTTGGGATGTCTGGGGATGTGGAGGTGCAGAGAGGGGGTCCAGATAGGTTAGAAAAGCACAAAGAAATAGGGAGGAATATTTCTGGCTCAGTAGCTCTAGGGAAAAGCTTGAAAACTTGCTGCAAATACCTTCTGCTTGTGCAGTCTTAACAGTTGGCATTTTAAGGACTCCCACAACTAAATGGCTGGTACCCAGGGAACCTGAAAACAGAAGGACCAGAAACAAACAAAACCCCTAAATCTTGTTCTTTAGCAGTCCATGGATGTTTTTCTTTACTCCCAACAGAGCAGGATCAGACCTGCAAACACTGGTTCAAAAGCCAATGCCTCAGTGATTACAGCAGTGAGTCAATCACTGTGCCCTGTCTCAGCAGAATAAGCTATCACAGGAATACCTGTCCCTGTTAGCACAGGAGAATCCAGAGGAACAGCTCTGGGAACAGAAGAGCAGCCTGCCTAACAAACCAGCAGTTCAAATTCTGGGTATAAAATCCTGCCTTCCCTAGTCTTCCTCAAGGCCCATGTCACAACATAGCAATTGTAAGTGCCACAACCCTAGTGCTTATGCAGGCTGAATTAACCCAGAAATAAAGTAGTGGACTCGGTACACCAGGCTTAGAAATTAATTTTTCACCTAGCATCTAGCTGGGATGAGAACACAGGCAGATTAACTCTTGCAGAGCTGCCAGAGCAGGCAGCTAAACCTGCTTTCTCTCTTCTCCCTTCCCTGCCACCCAGCTCACCATCCTGCAGACACAGCAAAGCACGGCTGTACAGCAGCTAGAAGATACACGTGAAGGCTCAGATAGCAGACAACCCAGTTTTGCAGTCCTTAGCAGGATTTATGTCCAAGTGGAGCTGTGCCACTCAGACAGCTCTGACACAAAGTGCATACGCTTGGCAGTGTGTCTGCTTACCAGGAGTTGCCCAGTTTTTAAAGGGGTCACACAACAGAAACCACCAGGAACATCAATGTGATGCTCCCCCCCCAAAAAAAAAAAAGATATTGAGGTCATTTAACTCTAATCATATTTAAAACACCATCTGACAAGGACTAGATTTGGTCTGGAAGATTTTAGATCTCATGTAGATCTTTTTATCCTCTGTCTCCAGTATTTCTTGTGGTTGTCACTTGTCTACACAGCCTGCACCACCTCATGGTGGGCACTTGGTCCAAACCTTTTTAGCTCAGGTGAGGACAAGAGAAAGCCACCCCACTCTCGAGGCACTTCTCAGTAGCAGTCAGCAAGACCAGGAAATGCACTCTTCAGTCCTGTCCTCCATGACAAGTGGAGATGCAAGTACAGACCACTTATTAGGCAAGGCAAATTAACAATTCCACATTAATACAGTGCTCACCAAATCTGTTTATGTGGATTATGAATCCCATTAATCTCATCCCTATGGCAGTCTCACTGTTTTGTTTAATACAAAAAGCTCCTTAGGACAGCTTCACCAGCCATCCCACCAACTGCTCACGTCTGAGCATCAGCAGCTTCTTTCTTGTCTGTGTGCAGTGAGGCAGGGAAGGGACAGGAATGGCTCTGGGAAGTTGCCTTGGGTGACCTAGCTATGGTTAAAATTAACTTTGAGACAGCCAAAAATCACATTCACGCACACACGCATCTCTGCCTTGATTGACAGCTGCCTCAGCTTTTCCACACATTTGATCTTTTCTCCATCTAACCCAACCCCCTTAAACCCTGCTTTATTTTTAGACAGCTCATTCCTCCTCACTGCAGCCAGCACTGGAGTCCTTCTGGTTTGCATCTTCAGGAAGGTGACTAATTGGCTCGTGCAGTGAGCAGCCCGGGCACCCAAACGCGGCACGTCTCACACCACCCTGCTCCAGATTCCCATGGGAACCAGCTGGAGAGGCAAGGGGCTGTCCTCACCAGCCAGGAGACAAGGCAGCAGGAGGGTTTAGCCTGAAGAGGTTAATGTCAGAAATCCAGTTCCTTGCTGCCCTGTACAACTGGGTCTGCTGGTGGCACTGTGTGGAATCGGCCTGTTATCTCCCCACCTACTTGTAGATGTCCCTCCCAAAAGCACTCCTTCCTATTCACTGTCTCCTTATGGCCTCAGTCCACTACCCCTCTCTCCTCCTAAAAGCCCAGTAAATGATAGCTTTTCACCTGCTCAGTGACCAGCAGCAAATTCTTACAGCACAACCATGACAACAAAGGAATAAAGCTGGTTAACCTTTAACTACCTTTGCAACATCTGCCCTAGACAGGCTTCTTTCACTTGAAACTCCCAGCCAGGAGAAAATCTGTGACACTCACCATCAAAACAAAGAGTTGGTGCACAGAGAACCATCTGGGCTAAGCTCTGCTCTCTCCCTGATCAAACAAATCCACAGCTGCCACGGCAGTAACAAATGGGGTCTGGTGCTTTGCTCCAAAACACAAACCCCAAAAGAGGAAAGGGCATGGGGAAAAATAAACATTGAGAAACAAGTGATGCCCATCCTCAGCCCAACAGATGTTTGATATATACTGGAAAGAGAAGTTATCCAGTCAGGCAAGCACAATGCAAGGCTCTGGACCTGCCCAGCAGGAACTGGAGTGTCCCTCTCTTACCCACAACACAGGGCATTGCCATGCCTCAGCCAGAGGGACAAAGAGCTGCCCACACCTCTCTGTGGGCTTGAGGACACAGGCAGGCAGAGAGCTGATGGTCTTCTGACCACCTGCCCTTTCAAAACCTTGGCTGGAGAGACAAATGAAGCTGACTAGGATTCAATTTTATTTCCTGTGAAAAATCTCCTGTGTAAGAACAAAAAAAAATGCTCTGAGAAGAACATTTCTGTGACATGCTCCGATGATCAATGATAAAAGCCACCTAATTCTTTTCAAAGAAATGAAATGTCCCACACTTGTGGGTGAGCTACTAAGCAAAGGACACCTATAAAGTCATCACTTTAAATGGTAACTAAATCATTCCAGTGAGTACAGGATCAGGGTGCCTTTAGAGGCTAAAAGGCACCAAGTGACAAGACAGAACCAGTGCAAGGCTCTCTTGTGCACGCAGAGTCAAACCTGGCTCTCCTCCACCTCCATGTTTTTTCCTTAATGCTCAAATACTTATTTTCTTTTATCCTAACAGTCATTTTCTCCTCTCAGACAAAGATACCAACCCTGACAAGAAGTGGATGCAGCCAGTAAACAGGAGCCATTCAGGAGTTTCAGTGTACTTTGTAGGGGTGTTTATAAAAATAAGAAACATGCAAAGGAAATGAAGTCTTGCTTTAAATACAGAGCAAGCTGGCAGACAGAATATAAAGCACAGGAACTGGAGAATCTTAGGGCAGCAGGGAAAAAATTACCCTGAAGGAGAAAAGTTCTTGGCTCTAGACAAAATGAAAACATACCATTAGTTTACTT